CCAACCCTGGGCCCTGGCTCGGTGCATGTGCATGATTAGCCCATGGCAGGAGGGCGTGTACCGCGATCCTGGGCCCAGGGTGATCCTGGCCAGCGTCGGTGTTGGTGTATAGGTGGTTCCTCCTCCTCCTCCTCCTCCTCCTCCGCCTCCTCCTCCTCCTCCTCCTCCTCCTCCCCCTCCCCCTCGATTGGGGACACGGGCACGGGGGGTGGAGGCGGGGGCGCTCCCGCGGGGGGCCCCCGCTCGTGCTCGGGAGAGCACCTCTTCCAGTCCTGGGCCTCGCCCCCGGGGTCCCTCTCTCCGTGGCGCTCTCCGCCGGCTCTGGCTCTCTCCGCCGGCTCCCCCCGCGGGCGAGAGGAGCTGCTCGCCGCCTCTTGGCCGGCTCTTCCCTCTTCGTCCTCTTCCTCGTCCTCCTCCTCGTCCTTCTCTTCCTCCTCCTCCTCCTTCTCCTCCCCTTCCTCCTCCTTCCTCCTCCTCCTCCTCCTCCTCCTCCTCCTCCTCCTCCTCCTCCTCCTCCTCCTCCTCCCCCTCCTCCTCCTCCTCCTCCTCCTCCTCCTCCTGCTTGCCGTCTCTTTGCACCCTCGAGACCGTTTTTGGATCCCCTGGCGACGCTCGTGACCAGGGGGGGAGGGGAGGGGGGCGTGCTCGCGCAGAGCAGCGGAAACGGACTCTTCCCTCCCCTCCCTCGAGTGCTCCACCCTGCACTGGGGGTGACAGTGGCGGGGGAGGGGGAGGAGGAGATGGGGGAGGAGGAGGGTCGGGAGGGGTGGGGGTGGGGCGAGGAGCAGAGGGTATTTAGGGGTCGGTGGGTGGAGAAGAGGAGGTGGGGGGGGTGGAGAAGCGGTGGGGGGTTGGCAAGGCGGGGGGGGGTGGAGAAGAGGAGGTGGGGGACGGAGGAGGATCCCGAATCCCAGTCCCTGTGGCTGGGTTTACCCGGACAGGCCGCCGCGGCCACCGCGGTTGGGCTGTCGAGGCCAACTGTTTACAAAAGTGTGCTGCGTCCGCTTCAATGACTGTCCTTCCGCCGCGCGGCAGCGCGCCCCGCGCTGGCGGCGAGTGTACGCGTGCTCGTCCCGGCTGCGCTGGTGCAGAGGCCAGCGAGCGGACCGCACCTGCCCCAGAGGCAGGCAAACAGTGCGGCCCGCAACGGTTGGTCTGTGAATCAGCCGACGCTTTTTCATACGGAATCTCTCTATATGCAGCCAGTGCCCGCATC